GAAAAAATCAAACCTGTTTACACAAGATGCAACCCTATAAACTCACTCTATATTTAGTTATAGCTGTTGCTGCTACCACAAGATACTTCTTGAACTTTTGGAAGTTTACTTTTCTAACGTTGCCATACTACAGCGTTTCAGAGCTACCTTGGATGTGTTAAGCTAACATTCTCAGTTAGGGAACTGTGGGAATCGCTCCTAGCTGACCTTGATGGTCTCTAGATACCCCCCTTCCTGGGTTCATGTGCCTAGTTACCAGTTGGTCAACCTCGTGCCCTGTGAACTGACCCTGTCCTCCCTGCGAGGTTTGAAAGAAAAAGAAACCCAATCCTTCGGGGAGCGCTCCGACTAACAAGAAAACTGCTGGCCCGAATCTCTCAGAAGTGCTGTGTTTTCCCACTGGACCACTTTCAGCTTAATAAACATCTTAACTAGCCAGAGGTCCCACGGGAGCTGCTGGGAAATCCTCTGGGCAGCCAGAGCTCAGGAGTTGGCCCTTTATTGCATCCAGGTGGCTGTTAAAAAATGCTAGCCGGTCCTAAATGTCCAATAAAATGCAAATGGCACCTTCGGGGGTGGACAGGGTCAGTGCACCTGTCTGTGGACGAAAGCTGCCCTCGCTCCCTCTTGTCCAATCAGTTTGATGTCACACTCTGCACTGTGTTGTGCCACAATCATGCCCAAGGTAGCCTTTCTGAGCGGGCCTAACACACACCGGCACAGGGGCCAATGAGGGACTAAGCCAGAGCAGTCATAGAGATGCAAACTGACTAAAAGAATAAATAAAACAATCAAAAACAGATTCAAAACAGGCACGAAGAGACACACAACTACGGCAAAGAAGAAAAAATGACTTGAATTATATACTAAGCGGGACAAAAGAACAACAATGACATGCAAAACAACCATAAGGAGACACAAACTGAACCAAAACTGATGCAGAAACACCCACCAAAAGTCACAAAACAACCACAAAAGATGGTGTCTTTGTCTTTGTCACAAAAGACAAAGTGACCGCAGAAACAGAAAAAAAACGACTTCGAGACACAAAAAACTACAAGCATGTGTTAGCCGTGTTTGTAGTTGTTTTCGTCGGGATGTCTTGCTCCTATGTAGGCGCGCGGGGGTCTTTAAAATGTCTGTTCCCAGGGGCCCATTGTCTCAAAATCTGTCCATGGCTGTTAGCAAAACTATCTTCTAAAACATATTCAGAAGTGAAAGACCATTTTCCTGTTGTCATGAGGTCCCCATCCGATGAATTCCAAACCTTTCATCCTGTTGAATAAATGCACAGCTAACTGGTAAATTAGGGGGATGCTAGATGTAATTATGCCCAATCACTTCCCGTTTGTTTACGACTACTTCACACGTATGTGAACAGTGGCAGCAGCCTCCCTTCATCTGCCCAGCCTGTCCAAAGGGAGAGTTAATTGTCCCGCAGGTTGTGGAGAGACCTGGACGGTGTATTGGGCCTTTGATCTGACTTGAAAGGAGTTAATTGATTTCTGTGTTACAGGGGAAGAAAGAAAAAAAAAGAGATGCTTGCTGGTCATTTCACAACATGTGCTGGAATATCTGAGAGGGGAAGGGAGGGAGGGGATGAAGAGAGAGATCACCTCACACCCGACTCCATCCTTGCTCAATTACAATAATTTGACTCACATGGGCAAGCCGCCATGGCGGAGAGAGAGAGGGGAGGAGAGGGGATCCCTGCTCGGGGAGATCACTCATCTTACCTCGAGCTGTGGTACAGAAAGACAGATTTGATGTGAGGCTCTCCTTGGAGCGCTGCCCAGGGGGTTGTCAAGGTGGCGGGTTCCGAGAAGACCACACGTCCAACCTCTCACTCTGACATTTGATGATGTCAGCGTAGAACAAGACACTACAGACTGTAGGAGGTAACTGGTGAATGGCAGAGTAAGTGTTTCGCTGCCTGTGTCTCTGTTTCTTTCAATATTGATTTTTCTTACAAAACCTTTCCTGTTTAAGGTCATGGAAGGTTTACCCTGTCCCAGCATGCACTTGGCCGAAGGAATCACATTGTGTTTCCTGTTTTTTCTTGTTATGAAAATAGGAATAATGTGAACATTAGCCTTTACATCTTCTGTCAATGTGATTTGCTGCATCACCTGCCTGAGAGTCTGTTCACCACGGGTCCAGGTCTGGTCTGTTTGACAGGTTTCCTGCCTTCACTCCTTCACCTCTCTCTCTCTCTGGTCACCCCTGCTCAGGGGGAAACGGGGCTGTCAGAGGGAGAGTGGCAGGCTAAGCCTGTCTTAACACAGCACCTCAAACCACCTCATAAATACAGGCTTCCTTTTCCAATTTCCAAGCGGCCCATCCACCTCTGTCTACATGCTTACACACTGCTCCATGTCATGTGCCGGGGTGTGAGTTTAAAAATGACCACGGGACATCTGGCCGACTCACAGAGGGTGGGGCTTTGATGTGTTGCTCTGCAGTTCAGCTCGACTTTGTTGAGCAACGCAGTACTGGAGATCCTAAAGAGCCTGATAGGCTAGAGATAGCAAGGGAGTTTAAAAGATGCTTTAAACAGTGAACATGTGTCACGCTGAGACACAGAACCGCATTCAACTACTCCTCTAGCCTCTAAACTGCGGCATAGTTTACAGACTTAAAAAGAGGCTGTTTCCATTTTGATTTTAAAATGTAGTCTCTGAAAATCATCATTATTTTCCATATCGTAAAGTGGAGTGAAAGTGAAACCATGTGAGGCAGCTTTTTCCTGGGTGATGCTGGGCAGGGCTCATGAGGGAGTTGTGGTTCACAAAGCTCCGTGCCCATCTGGAGACTTTGGCTGCACTGCCTCTCTTAGTATGAACGCAGAGCTTTATGTAAACATCTGACCTGCAGCACTAACATCAGACTCTACCTGCTGAGAGCAGAAGTACAACGCTGCTAACACAATACTAAAGTTACGAGTAGGTTCTGCAGAGAAACGTTCAGGTTAAAGGAGGAGATATTCTATATGTTTGTAGTTGTCAACACTTCTCATGAAAAGACCAAAATCAACAAAGTGGTTGTCCGTAACTAAATAAGTTTCAACCCACACTTGTCAGTAGCACCCAGCCCCAACACCACTTGTTCCTACTGAATAAGTAAATCTTTTAAAAAGGACCAAGAATATATTCTTTCTTTTGGTTATTTTGAAACATTACTCAAACACGAATAAGTAGTTTATTTGTGGGGACCTTTTATCAACTTTTGATTTGATGTGCTGGTGAGCATTTACAGCAGCACGACAAAGTTTGGGAAATAGACTTTAAAGACATTTCAGAGGAAATTTCACTCAATGCAACGGGGCCTCTTGTTGGTGAGCTTTTCGGAGCTCACACAGAGGAATAAGCTACCGTCTATCAGGCTATGGCTAGACAATATTTGGTGTTAGGATTCCTCCATTGTTAGTTTTGGACTTTTCAAGGGATTTTTGAATAATTAAAAAACAAAAGTATATTGTCTCATCCTTCATGATACAGTTTTGCAGCTTTTCTAAATATTGTTTCGACTTAACACATCCCCTGAAATGAAATGATATACTATATGCTATGAATTCACCCAGTCTTAACACTTGAAGATGTGAAACTATAATCTAAAGATTTGTAACAGGGATTTAAAAGCTAGTAAAATAGTGATATTTTTAGTTTTTGCAAAGTTTTTCTGGAGCAAAGGTGAAAAATGCAATGTTGCTTGTGTGTGTGTGTGTGTGTATCTGGATACATATGGCGTACTGTATATATGCACTTTATGCGCAGCGGGGGGGGGGGGCTGTCTGAGGCTGTCACTGTGCTCTAGGGCATCACTGACATGAGTGTCACCTTCATGAAGGAGCGTGAAAGCTGTTCCCTCTGCAGAGGATTCCTCAGACCGTCGCTCTGATTTCAGCGGCAGAACAGAGGAGTTAACGCGAGCGCTCCTGGAGGCTTGTCATCTGCTCTACGCTTCATTAAACACCTGTGAATACCAAAAGTCATTAGGAATGTTGGTCAGGAGGAAAAAAAATACCTGCATTGTTAGCAGAATCCATAAGTTCACAAACTTAGCGGGAGGAGAGCGTAATTAACAACGGGGACATTAATCCATTAATGAGTTTCTAATACTAATTACACCTGCAAAAATGTGCAAATGAGTTCTGACAATTTAATTAGTTGCAAATGACACATGTGAGCTGGAGTGAGAAGAAAGTGATGTTCTGGTATCCAAGTGTAAACTCTGCTTCTGGATCTGGCAGCAAAGTGTTGTTTAGTTTGTTAAGAAGAAGAAAAAAAAACACCTACCGTAATTAAAGAAATATATGCATGAAATGTTGGATAATTAGTAAGTTAAGGGTTGCACATTTTAAAGTAGTGAAAAACAACTTCCAAGAAAGGGTCACTTTTTCTTGTGTTCCTTCAAAACAATTCTCGATACAGGTGTAAATAGAAATAACAAATATAATAGTCACTAATAACGTGTTCACAGAGCTGATCTGTTCTACTCTTAAAGACCTGACTCAGGAGAGCAGTCACTTCTGATTTGGGCTTGCGTCGGGGGGGAAAGGCTCCTGCGTCTCAAAGCTCTGCTCGTTGGTGCCGCACGCTGCTCATGAAGAACTTTGTGATGGAGAGAGGCCTCTGCTGGAAATGAACATCAGAGACCTGTTTGCGTGGGATGAGGCTGCTCTTTCTGTCCTGCATGACTGGGACTCACTGTCAGCACGGTCCTGTTTTACTGATAAACAAAATGAGAGTCACAGCTAACAGACTTTTATGAATTCATCTCAAGGACATTTATTAGCTTGGTTTATTTTAGGTCAGACACTGATGTATTCGAGCAACAAAACATACATTTAGAAAAAAAAATCTATTTCAAGATAAATAACAAAATCTTCTCAAATGTATTGTGCACAGTTGTACATTATAAAAAATACATTTAGTACTAAATCATTTAAATAAAATCCATTAAGGTAAAAATACCTTTTTCTCTTAAATTACATAATATACTGTAGTGTTTTTTTTCTAAATTATTTTACAAGTATTCACATGATCCTTTCAGTCAGTAGTGTTTCAGTCGTTGTGTGTCTGTCTGGCAGGGTGAGACCGCAGCGTCACACAGCGATGCTCCGCTCTGTGCTGAAGTTGTAGTAAAACTGCATGAGAAGAAGAAAAAACAAACGATTAATACAACATGTGGTAAAAACAGCATAAAACACAATTTACCTGCACCATCTTAATACCAGATAAATGAAGTATATATATGTTTACAAAAGTAAACTGAGCACAAACATTTAAAAAACTCTCTGAATGTTCTACACTGATATTAAGTTGAACTCTAGCTTAAACATGTATTGATTAAATACGAATCTCTTATAGGCCAAACATTACCCCGACAGCAGAGTGATCGTGAGGGTCGTCCAGAATTCACATTGAGAAAAAAACGAGCAAACACTGCCCCCCTCTGGCGAAGCATGGGCATTACTCTTTGATAAGCAAGAGGGCTTCAAACTATAATGCTCAACTTACTGTATGTGGCATTAAAAGCAGAAAAGGGTATAATGTTTGTTTTTTCACTGTTTCTATACATCATTAATTAACTTATATTTATTAAAATGATAATTTACTTAGTAGACATTTTAACTTTTGTTGCCAGAAGTATATTTTATCATTAACCCAAATATAAAAAAATGGTGTTGATATTATTCAAAGATATCGCACAATTACTTTCAACCCTGAGAAAGACCTATAGGAAAGAGGCCACAGTGTGACAGATCTGCAATAATAATTAGAATGTGTTCATTGCTATTACAACATGCAGTGCTTTGCCTTCAGCTGAATTCACTTTCCAAAGCAATTGCTGGCCTCAAGTTACATCACATTGGAAATATTCTTGAGTTTTACAAAGTGACGACAACAGAGATGTTACATTTGGGAAAATGAGAGCAATGGAATTGGATTGGTATTTAATATTGTGAGATAACCTGAGTCAAGGTATTATAATCAGTATCAAAGAGAAAGCAGTATTGGTGATTGCCCAACATTATTAGCAGTTCCAAAAAGTACTTAGACTTGTATCTTATATATTATACATTATCAAAATCTATTTTATGAATTAAAATGATTGAAAGAAATACCAATTTATTATGCAAGTGACTGGGGAAATGTAATGATCTACAATAACTAACAGTCTAATGTTTGATTACATATTTATCAAACTCTTTATAAAATGTCACATTAATGATTTTGATGTGGGTGTAGTTCCACTTTCTGAACAGTGACGTTTTGTGAAACAAAGTAGGGCGCACTCACCAAGTTAGACTGTTGTATTACTGCAGCATAGCACTAGGTGATGCTGTATGATCACTGAAATAAGTTTCCAAATCTCGACCAGAAGCCATGGAGCCACAGAGGCTCGGACCGGGCTCTCACAATCACAACACCATTGTCCTGATCCTCATATACTTTAGCGGAAGCTGCAAGTTACGCAGCAGCCTGTCACGTAGCACAAGACCTTTAGTTGAGCAGAAATGTTGCCCCCCACAACACAAAAATTCTGTCTCAACATCTGGCACGGTAAATAAATAATCGGCACGTGTATGTGTGTGTGCTGATGATGGATGGGGGAATGGGGTGTTATCAGGGAGAGCATGTATCAATGTCTGCCAGTTTTATACACAGGCTGACAGGACAGTGACACACAAGAACATGGGCGGCAGTCACCCAGATGAGCCCAGCTTCATTTCCTGTCCCTGCTCCACTGCCAAAAATATGTGACATGTTGTCTTCATTAATTCCACCTCTATTTGGAGCTCTCCCACTCACACCTCTCACACAGCCCTGTACACCACTGCCCCTCCATACATTCACACAAGCATGCACAGAAACACACATACTGTACACACTCCCTACAAACACTGAAGGCCCATCATACATAGGTGCTAATGAAAATCTTGTCATGTGTGCACACACACACTTCCTTTCCACCCTAGCATGCTCCCTCGGAAAATCATTAGCCAGCCGCCAACAACATTTTTCAGCAGAGCAAACTACATAAAGATGTCACTTTAAATCGCGTACTAATTAACACTTAAAAAGACACAAATTAGATATGCGTGGCTAAAAGCAATTATAATATCCGCAAGTTTTGTGAGTCATTTGGGAAATGAAAAGAATGCCTAATTGCTGGAACCAACATCATCCGAGACATGGCTTAAGTGATGCCTGTTAGGAAATGGTCTTATCTGCAACTGGGACTGTGATTACAACAGTTTTCCTCAATTACATGTGCATATGTATAATTCTTGAAAGTACATCTCTTTCATGAATCTATATTTTTTTAATGGGTTTAGAAAGAGGCAATTAGGTTCTTTGCTGAAAATGCCTCCGGTTTCTAAAGAGGGGGAAAAGAGCTCCACAGTTTAAGCATGGACAGTGACCTCTTCTGGACAACAGAAGAAGAAGAAAACGGCTCCACAATATTTAGAAATGAGGGTACTGATTGATCAGATTGAACTGATATTCTATATTGTGGTTTTTATGTTAAAAAATGTGTCTCTACTTCTGCAGAAGCCTTGATAATGGAGAGAAGCGTGGACACTATGTTTACAGTGTACAACTGTAAAAACTAGACAAAGAACAGAAATAAATAGAACACGCATCACTTTCTAAAAGAAACACCTCTGCTGTCCAACGTGTTTGCAAGAATCTCACCGACTATATTCCCCCTCTTGTTCTGCAGATATCATCGAGGGATAATAACAAGGGGAGAGAAGTAAGAATAACACAATGGTGAGGGATGCTTCCACTTGGAAACTAATTATCAAGCTAAGCTGTGACTTCATCCTCATCAGCCTGGCCCCACCATTAATCTTGTGCTGTCGTCCACTTCACTAAATCCTGTGTGTTACACTATCTCACATTTACTTCATCAGCTCCAGCGCGGCTGTAATTAATGATTTCTCATGCCCCTTCCCTTCCCTTCCCCAGCTCAGCTCACCATGTGTCCTCCTGCTAATCACACTCCCTGAGAAGGAGAGGAGGAAGAAGGAGAGGAAAAAAAAACAAAAAAGACAAGAGCATATATGAGCAGCCAGCCTGTCTCCCACCCTGGAAAACACACTCAAACACGTACACGCCATTAATACCTTCGCTGACAATGAGCTTCATTCAGATGACCATATGACAAGATGGCGACTCTGTGTGATTTGGATAGTATGTGACAGAAGACAGAGGCAGAGTGCAGAACAGACACCCGGTTTGATGAGGGAGTGTTTGCTCTGTAACACATCTCAAACCCAACAGCACCTGTTCTTTTACAGTGGTCTGTCACTTCCTGGCAGTTCTGATACCAAGATACCGTGCTAATGAGAGAGAAGGGGGGGTTGTCACTCTCTTTAAAGCACACACACACACACACACATGCACGCACGCACACACACTCCCTTTCCTTCTCCTGCTCTCACGAACGCACAGGCTGCACACAGATTTTCTTCCTACGGATGCCTGCAGGCTACAGTGTTTCATCAGAAATGGGGAGTGCTTTGTGGAGCTTGTATTTGCTCTGCATGAACTTTTTTGCTACTGAAAATGAAGCCGATTTGAAACTTGAAAAGTGAAACATGCAAAAATCTGACCGGAAAAAAGCTCCCTAAGACCTACAGCACTGTGCGAGGTGCTAGATTGAGCTGTTTGAGAGAAGAATTGGGGAATAAAAGTCAAGTGTTTTTGGAACAGGAGACGAAGCTTTTAGGAGAGAATGGCTGCCTTGCCTGGCCATGCTTTTATTCAATTGGGGCTTAGTGGAGCCAACAGGGCCTCGCTGTCTCAGACACTTAATTACAACCCCAAGACCGTTTGCTTTGCATTCTGGGCCAGCGGCGTCAGTGGCAGCCGAGCGTTGCAGCCTCTACTCACTTCCTCCTCGATCTCTGCCAGGGATTTGATCGTAATGCCCATTAAATTGACTTGCTGCATCTGAAATCAAAAGCAGGGAGAGGAGGAGGGAGAGGAAGAAGAAGAAGAAGAAAAACACACAAGAAACATGGCGGTTAGGCTCATGGCTAAGTAAGCATGCTTAAAATCTTTAATCCTCTCCCTCTTGGTGTCAATACAAACGGGGCTATAGTGACAACCGCCGCCAGCCAGCCAAATGGACTGCATTGAGCCAGCTCTGCCTGACTGCACACATTCATCACTCAGTCTGGAGGAACAGAGAGGAAAGGAAGGAGAGCAAAGGAGAGGAAAGGATGGAGAGGAAAGAAAAGGAGAGGAAAAAGAAGAAGAGCAAGGGAAAGTAAAGGGAAAGAGGGGAATTTGAAGCAAAGGAGTGGAAAGGAAGCAAAAGGGAAGGAGAGGAAAGGACCAGGAACAGGAAAGGAAAGGATTAAGGGCTGTATACTGGACCATAATACACAACAGGTTGCAGAACAAGTAGTTGCAGAGTGACTTTCATGACCCCTCTCATATTATTTGAATAATGCAATAATTAGCCATTTTGTTCCTCAAAGAATTTTTACCTCTTTGGGATTGTCACAAAACTTTTCAGCGATGAAAAAGGGCACGCCGTCCAGAGCTGCAAAAAAGTAAGAAAAAAAAGTTTAAGGTTGACATAAAATACATATTTATTACTCCCTATTCTTGTTCCTTAGTAATTCCACAAAACTAAGCACAGGTTTATAAAAAGGCAAAGCTATCAACATCCCCAGCCCCCCCGACACCTCCCCTCCCTCCGTCTACAGAGACAAGATGAAAGGCTTTTATTCTGTGCTGTATTTGAGCACCTCCACTCTCTCCTCCAACCCAGCCCTTTCCCAACCCTCCTCCACTTTAATTACTCTTGATTATTCCTGATTCCATCTTGTCTGAGAGATGTTCACCGCGGAAACAAAGACACAATCACACAAGGCACAGAAAAGTGGAAAGAGGAGAGACAAAACATTCACCAGATATCAAATTTGCATGAAAATAAGCCACACTGTTCAGCGGGCAAAAAGTGGATTGAAATGAGGACTTGCCAAGAGCGTGGTGGTATAATTAGCATTTGACCAAACAAACGAGCTTCAACAGAGCTATAATTAAGCAGGCCTGTAATTAAGTGTATGCCCTTTATCATAATGATCGTGGTTAAAATGGTGTGATGGCTGCCAGTAGATTATTAATGGTGTAACCCCGTACTGCATGCATCCTGCACTGGAATCAAGGTGTCACGACTGTCAGGCTAGAGAGCAGCCCTTTGTTTATAAAATACATTAGGGCCCAAATTAACACAGGGTGACAAGGGACACAAAGCCTCGCGTTTCCAGACTGAAGGGGAAACTGCAGCTGCTTGGCTTCATTATAAAACTCCCAAATCTGGAGGCACAAAACTTCCTGCCGTTGGCTTCGACACGAGCCCCAAATATCAAGAGGCCAAGCTTCCAACTAGTGTTCTTTTACCCACAGTCCATCAGGCTGCTGGCACGGGAAAAGGAACTCATAAATGTAAGCCGAAGCTGTTCATGAGTCATCGTTTTGGAGCCGACACTCCTCTTGGCCTTTCCTGCTCACAGCAATATTCCAAAGTAGGACATTCTAAAATATCCCTCACGTTGACACTTATGTGACTTGCTTTCCTTTCTTGCTTATTACACAGATCCATGGTTTGGCACTTTCCACACAAGTGTAGTACAATGTGATCTTTGTAATCAAAGCATGACCCTCACCCTCATGACCACAGGAACGCTTGTCTAGTTTCTTGGCTCCCACTCATCTCCCACAGATGTAGTCATAACAGGAGTCTACAGGCACGCTCTAGCAGGCTATACTTAGACAAAGCAGTGCTTTGAGCTAATGAAAATGTCAATAAAAACAATGCTAACATGTTAAGCAGGTTAAATTATATAGCCATGTTTACCATGTCACTTTAGGTTGGCAGTATTTAATAATTTGCCCCAAGAGAGGACAGGTCATGCCTAAGAACAAGTATTGTACCAATGTAAATGTTGACCTGATGATGGCGCTACATGACAAACAAGGGATCATCAAAGTTATCACAATTCATCCAGAGGGGGGCACGAGAGCTTGTACCAAATTCAAAGGCAATCCATCAAATAGTAAATAAGATATTTCACATAAAAACAGAAATATCAACATCATGGTGGAACCCGAGGCGAAAGGAATCACCAAAATCATTACTTTTAATCGACTTGGAACAATTGATGTCTGTAAGACAGTTAATGGCAATCCATAAAAGGCTGTTGAAAAAATTCAGTCTGGGTCGAAGAGGTGGACCAACCGACACTGTCATCCCTATAGCTACTAGCATGGCTAAAAAATGCTAGTAGTGAAATGTTTAGCTTCGTTTTCCACCCACGAAAGGCTGTTCAATGCCCCAGCCTTGACAACTACATCCCTGTAAAGCCTTTGGATACATGGCCATCTAAAGCAGAAAGAAAACCAAGGTGGGTCCAATGACTTGTTTAAGGTCATAAAAACAAGTGAACAAACACGCACTACCGTGTCGCTGTGAGCACCACAGCCAGGCAGAGGCAGGCAGGGAGAATACATTTAAATCAATACCCAGCAACGGGAAGCCGAGATTGTAGCTGCTGATGGATCTGCGTGGCGCGGACAGATGAATGCAGAGCTGAAGGCCACAGAGTTTCTTTATTGCTCAAGGATTACATTTAAAACCAGATCTCACTTTGTATTCCACCACCATCTATACTAGAGAGGCTATCTTACATCCAGATAAATGGAGAGGCGCAGGTGATGACTTGGTGGTAAGAAATGGATAGGACGGTGAAATCCGGAGGTGCAAAGGGCAAAAATAATGTAAATCCAATCTTCTGACCAGGAATCCCACTATGAAGCATGTTCGAGCCGCTCAAATGGCCAGGCTACAGTCCATTAACTCATGACTGTATTGCAGTGTAGGGAATTGGGTGGTTTGGAGTATGTGAGCGCAGAGAATATGAAAACATCTGGCAGGAATTTTGGTACGATGACTATCATGATGATGATGGTGGCGGCGGCGGCGAGCGCAGAGGTGGCGTTAAGTAAGGAGGACCCTGTGGCTTGAGTGATTGTAGTGTAAAGAACGGAGTCAGCACGGGCCCCGTGTGGATCATCGCCTTATTAATGGCTCCGTCAGGTGCGATGAGCAATGGCTGCATTGTCATCTCCAGCCCCTGGGCACAGATGAATGGCTGTTTCAGGGCGGGAAGGGCTCCCTCGTACGCTGGGCTGAGCCCTAATCCCTCACTCTTCCATTGTTGGATACACTGTCACCCAGGACTTCAGCAGCGCCATACATTGCATTTCCAGGGTTTCTACCAGACATGGCCGCGCACACAGGCTTACATACAAAACACACACACACACACAAACTACACTGAGCTGCCATCCAGACACAGTGACGACTGATTGAAAATATGCACGGGTGATCAAGCGTACCCCATTTGACCTGAACTCAAGAGTAACACTTTAGGAATGTTGATGGACTTTTATTTTACACTCCACTAATCCAGCAGAATAGCATTGATCTCTGTCTACTTTGATTACCAGGCTGAATCTGACTCGCACCTGAAATAAGTGAGAAAGCCACGGCCAGGGGAATGAGCCTCTTTTACGTTTTGCTGATTTCTATTGTCCAGTACGATCAAATAATAAGAGATAATAAGCAAAGCCGCTGGTTTAAGCTCTATCTGGAACCGGCTGCATTTTATATTCCAAACAATTGGATGTTGTCTCCTCTCTTTGTGTAGCCAGGCTAGACATTGCCATACCTTTCCTGTCGGCATGACTCTCAATTTGAGGCGGATTCTTTATGCAGACCATGGAAATGCTATTCTAGTTGCAGACCCTGCTCTCTGTCACCTCAGCAGATAATGGTGAGTAGATGAACAGAGAGCTGGAGGAGGACCCCCTCTGCCCACTCACAGCCCTTAGCCCCTCTCTGACATGAGAAATAGTGCCCAGGCCTGACAGCATCTCTGAGACATATTGTAGTTTATTTTGTCGCCCGGGCATGCCATCTGTGCCATTCCAATAGAGGGTGTGTGTTCAGGCTGCTGCAAGAGAGAGGGTGCGAGGCTCCGGGTCCCTCAGTAGCTCTGCAGCCACGGCAGGTCATTAGTCAAATTGCCTAATGAGAGAGAATACAAATGGCCCCCTACCCTGACAGGAGGAATTTTGGAGGTGTCAGAGCTCCTGACCCGTGCTATGAGAACAGATGATAGCGAGTTGCTATTTTCAGATTATTTTAATGACTATGGCTCTATGAAACCCATTCTTTTTCTTTTATCTTTTCCCCTGCTTTCTCAAGCCCTCTCGACAGACGAGGAGCGGGGAATAAAAAAAAAACTTTTCAATGCATTCAAACTCTCGCTTGCAAAAGTGGAAGTGGAACTTTTGAATTATTTAAATGTTTACTGGAGAGTCAATTAACATTCTAAAAAGCGCAATAGGTTGATACTAAAAATAAATGCCGCACTGAAATGATGCTGAGGGTTTCTGATCATCTATTTGTATTTGTTTCTGCCGGCTGTGCGCAGCTTGCTTTCCCAGACTGACTCTGTGGTGTGTGTGTGTGCAAGCTTCTGTTGAAATTCTCCTGACAGCGAGGCAGTTGGTTCATACTTAAATATTAATTTCATCTCATCCAAATGTAAACAAATCTAAATGTTTCTAATGCCAAGAGTAGTATGCAACACATCTAGCGGATGGATGTGGGTATGTTTACACACTGCAGGCTGGGGCTTCTACACACTCATGTTTACAGAGAGAAAGTGAGGAGAGAAAACAGAAAAGCGGCACCAAGGGACTGAAAAGAGGTTGAATCATTTTACACAAGCTTGCCGTCCACATTGAATATTTTTCAAAAGAAAAGGTGCTGTATGTTCTTATGACATATTAACTCACTTTTGTGAAATGTTATAGATGCATCATCAAACATTGTGAAAAAACAATAACCATATCAAATGTTCTCTACAGTCTACTTTGAACTGCAGGGCAAGAGCAGAGTATTACCACAAAGTGAACAAACACTGTTTGTTTTTAGATCAGAGGACGACCACCATAGAAGGGAATTAGATTTTAAGCAGTGGTGTTCAGAGACTACTTTAAAAGCAGATATGTGTTTCAGTGGTTGGTGTCAACTGAGGATTTCTCTACTTTATTTTATTTACTTGCAGTATTATTATTTTTATTGTGTTGCACTGTTGGAGGAGCCTGTGACCTAAGATTTTTATTGTCATAACTACACTGTAGCTACTGTATGTACAAATGACAATAAAAGCTAAAATGATAATTTAATAGGTTTTAATTCATTTCAATTTATGAGGCTGGAGTCATCTGTAACCTTAGTTGAGCTACTGTAGAATTGTAGTTGCGCACAGCTCTTGATTTATTTTATTCTTTCTTATGTTACATGTTAAGTACCCGTTATTGACAAACCATCTATTTATATTGTTTATTTCGGTTTTGCGTAAGGGTCAGCCAACATAAGATTTTTTCTGCGTCTTGCACAATTTCAGTGGTGTGTAAATAGTTTACTGTGAATCTGTGTTTTCACTTTATTGCGCACACAAAAGT